CACATTCATGTTCAGATTGTGTTGCATGTAATCTTGTAATCTTCCTGTGAAGACAGTCATCAGTCCAGGACTTACAGGTTAGCACACAGGTTAGCATACAGGTTAGCATACAGGTTAGCATACAGGTTAGCATACAGGTTAGCATACAGGTTAGCATACAGGTTAGCATACAGGTTAGCATACAGGTTAGCATACAGGTTAGCATACAGGTTGTTAGAAAGCACTAAAGCAACAGATGCTGTATCTGGGTGTGGTGCTCACGTTTAGAGCAGAAAACACGACGAGTGTGTGTGTGTGTGTGTGTCGTTTCTTCTTCCTTCTGTGTCATTCACTCTGTGTTCATCACAAACTTGTCAAACATGTGACCCCAGTCCTGATTGGCCGGGTTCCTCTCAGATCTGTGCAGTAATTGCTCAGCCAAGCACGATTCTGTCTCTCTCTCTCTCTCTCTCTCTGTCTCACTCTCACTCTATCTTTCTTGGCCCAGCTCCAGGGTGGGGTGGTTTGGCATGACAGTTTTTCCCAGAGAAGGAATGCTGACTACAGGAGTGGGTTACCAGGTGTGGCTACAAGTCAGTTAACCAGAAAACAAGTTCTTTATGACAGATTCAGATGAGGAAGCAAAAAAAAAAAAAAAAGAAAAGAAAAGATAAACACAGGTGACAGAGTCTTGCAGTGACTACTTTTATTAACCTTATTTATTTAGTGTTTGTCAACACAATGGAAAGGTTCAACCCAATCCAAAGGCCTGTCCTCAGTGATGTGAGGCTGACTGGAATACAATTAGCTAATATTTTGTTACACTTTGAGTGTGTTTCCACTGCAAAGATCCAGGTCCTTTTTTTTCTGTTTACAGTGCCATCTTGGGTTTCACATTTGGCAAAAGGTGCTGTGAGAATTATGCAAATGAATGTGCTGGCATGTAAAAACAGCCGGTGGAGGGAGGAGAGTGGCTGAGTTAGTGTGAGGCCACCTCTGTGGAAACGCACCTTTTGGCGTCGTGCACACACGGAAAATCCTTCTGTAGCAGCTCTAAGTCGACAGCTTAGAAATCACTGCCCGAAACAAACTCTAAAATATTAGCGTGAAAGTCAGAACACAAACAGCTGCTGAGTGTGTGAATTTGCACCATAAGCTGCTTCTAATCCTGTCCCGGGACTGTTTAGGACAGGGGTTCCCAAAGTGGGGTTTGCAGCACTTTCACAGTACAGGAGAGCTGTAGAATAAAACTTCATTTACATTGTGTCCCATCAGAGAAAACCGCACTGACGTTTGGTTTGTAGCAATAGCTTTGAACACAGGCCTGAAAATAGTCCTGTCTATAACATTCTGGACCACTGGCTTTAAAAACCTTGTCTCACAATCAGGTCCAATCCGTTGCATGACTTTCCACGGTCCACTGTAGTGAAGACACAGTCCAGAGTGGAATCCTGCTGCTTTGGTGCCGTCATCCATTTCTGCCGTATATTTTGTTCTGTGAAACAATCTCAACAAACCAGTCTCACTGATCATGAAGAGACATATTATATCTTCACGTTTCTCTCTCTCTCTCTCACACACACACACACACAGCACTCACGCCATTTCATTCCACATCAATAGCTCCAGTGCTCCTGTAGGCCACTTGGCAGTAGTGTAGTGTAGGAAATTGCTGACATGTTACACAGGTATTGATTGACAGTGGCGTAAATGTTCACACGCACACGCCAAAGCATGCTTAGCGCTGCAGCCTGGCTCAGTATGACCGAGTGTCTGCATTAACACAGCAGTGGATCACTGAGGTAATGCACACACACACACACACACACACATTCTGTGCTGTATCCCAAGAAATGACCTCCGTGTGAACTCCTAACCTTGCCTTTAATTATTTGTTTGAAGACGGCGTGGAGTTCCCATGCTGAGAGCTGCTCTGTTTGCATGTGTGTGTGAGTGAGTGTGACTCGGGTGTTTCTCTGCTTTAACATCTAGCAGAGGCAGACCATAATAAGCTGCACTACCAGATGTAGATAATAAAAACACAGGCTCTGGGTTGGAGGGGGTTTTTAAGCCAGTGTCCCCCCCCTGTCCCCCCCCAGTCCCGTCAGAACTCCTGCCTTCTGGTTAGCCTATGGACACACTGACGGATGCTTGTGGTGGTGTCCATGGTGTCGATGTGCAGATTTACAGCGCGCATGTATGTTTTAGTGAGTGGTTGGGAATTCTGAATCCCTGTGGTCAACCTCTGTTTTTCTCTCAGGACCTTGGGTCCTCAGATCCATCCATCTATCTGTCCAATCAAGTTGACTGGCCTTCATCTCTGGAGGATTCCTGGTTTTGTTGTTCTAAGCACACTCCATTAGCAACTCACAGGTCGAGGGAAAACACTGTTATCAGGCCTGACTCTGATAATCTCAATTGGCTTTACTCAGACTGATAAAAGGTTCTCTGAGGCCACCACTGGAGGGGGCCGTGGTCGGACCCCGCTGCCTCCACTACATCACGTTACCTTCATGGTTACTGGAGCGACTTGTTTTGCGTACAAAACAAAGCCTTGTGTGTTTGAGGGTGATGTGTATATCTCCTAAATGGCTAAAAAAAAAAAAAAACAAACCCAGAAGATAACTGTAGGGGAAAAAAACCTGAACTTTGTCCCAAACTTTAATACAATTGTGCACTAAATCAGAAATCGTCATAATTCACAGTTACAAAAAATGCCTCTAATTTTGAAGGTTGCTTTTATTATTTATTTATTATTATATCATAACTAGTCAGTGTCCAACAATTGGCCCCTGCACTGGACTTTTAACATCATCACATTTCTGTGGAACACTTTCTGAACCACATGTGGACAACATGTGGTGCCAAGGCCAGATGTGGACCTCGGACCAGCTTGATGTGATGCGTGACATCTGCAGAGATAACTGAAACCTGCAGCAGAAAGAGCTCCGTGTTCCACACAAAGACCTCAAAACCCTGTGTAGCTCCAGCGTTAGCTCTGCAGGTAAAACAAATATGAACTGAGTTTCCTGAAATCCCACTCCACTAATTATATAAACACTACAATAAAACTGGATTGGACGTGAACCTAGAACCGGTGCTACCTTTATAGCTAACCCTAACAGCCAAACCTGACACTGCTTCATGTGGTGTAACTTGCACAAATGTAACTTTATGACATCTTTCAAGTCATCGTCTGTCACTCTCATACCTCACCTCTGCCTTCCCTCCTCACGTGCACCTTTATTCTTATATGGATGTGTTTTATCTTCTTCCCTCGGGGGGGCTGCGGCACCCCTGCGTCGCTGCACTCTAGATGCCCCCTGGCAAATGAGCACCATGACTCTCTTTTTCCCAACCGTGCATTTTGTACATTTAACCATGTCACTTTGAGCCAGGCAGATTACAGGCGTTTAAGTTCATTGGTGGAAAGTAAGGGCAGGTATCGGGGCTTCATGGGGGATTAGGGGTCCAAATTGGTTCCAGCTCTGCCTTCCTCCTAATGACCAGTGCTACAGCCATGTACTGATGGGGCTGAAGCACGGATGGATGCTGGAATGGGCGGCGGGGCCTTTTCTTCTCTCTCTCTCTCTTTCTCTCGCTCTCTCTGATTTTTTGGAACCGCTGAAGGACTCCATGCTGGACAGCGCTCCGATGATTTGAGTCCTTTCTTTAATATCAACCACATTCTCGTACCTGTAGCACATTTTACTACGTTAGCCAAAAAGTCAGTAACAAAGGTGGAAAGATGATTGACCTGAGTGTCCAACCATTCGTTGGACACACCCTAGGACATTCTTACCCTGGGTTTAAAAGGTTGCCCCAGGCTGGCAGTCACCTCTAAATGACCTCTGCAGCTCCACACTGGAAAAGCCGCAGGAGCACGGCCGGCTGGGGAGGCTTTGTGGAGCTGCACTTATTCGCTGCCGTGGTGGTGATAAAACTTCAGACAGCCTAATTGATGGGCTCGCTGACATAACAATACCTTGTGAAAGCACGGAGCGGCCCAGGCCTGGTCCTCATTTCTGGACAGCTGGGAGGGGAGCAAGAGCCCCCCACAATGCAGCCAGAGTGGGGGTCCCACAGAGGGAACACACAGGGGGGAGAGGGGTGAAGTGATGGGGAGTAATGAAAGGAACCATTTGTATCCCGCACGTTGCTAACTTGAAGCTTACGTTGAAATTCCAGTGGGTGATAAAGCTCCAGGAATAACATTGTTTTGGAGAAGGAACCGGAGACAGGATACTGTACATCAGTCATCCCCAAAGACGGGTTCTGGGACCCACACATGGGTCACAGGGGATTAGCTAAAATTCTTACTCTACTGATTCCAAAGTTGCCCAAACACGCGTTCAGACATTTAACCTGACCTGTTTTAACCATGTGTTTGCTAACATTAGGCTATTTGGGGCAAATTCTTGCTAGCATTTTCTTTATTACTTTATTACTTTTATGTGTTTAAAGACACCATTTTGACCAACTCTTCTTCACAGTGTACATACATTCCAAGTGATTTCAAATTTTCAACTAATAATTGTACCGATTTATTTTTAAGAATGTGGAAATCTTCTGACATTCAGGTTGTCCCTAGGAGACACCCAGTATGTGATGTGTCCAAGCAGCCACAGAAACAACTATTAAAGACAGAGGCAGAGTGGGATGTACCACGATGAGGGTTCTTCTGGGCCCGAGTTGCACTTAATACTTGAGGAATGTCTCCCCGGTGCCTATAGCAACCAAACGTAATCAAAAGCTTTATTAAAAGAGGGGGGAATAGATCATAAGGAACATTAAAAGTATCCCTCACTGGGTTCCCAAGTCACCACACAATTGCCCTTTTGTTTGTTGCTGTTTTGTAGTGAGCGCCTCTCTCAAGGACTCGGGCAGCTAATGTTGCCATTAGGTCATGCAATACTGTTTTGTCTTTGTGCTGGACTGCGATGAATCTGTGTGGGTGTGAATACAGCAGTGATTTAACGTTTGCCTTTCTGTTTTTCTTTTCTCTCTTCTCTCTCTGCCAGGTTCATTAATGCCAGAAGAAGAATAGTACAGCCTATGATTGACCAGTCGAATCGAGCAGGTAAAAAAACAAAAAAAAATCCAGTCATCCAACGTACAGTAGAATTCTGCTTCTATTTTTCTTTCACTTTCCATTTATGAGAAATAACTGCTTCAGGATCTAAGATTTAAAAAAAATATTTAAAAAAAAGAGAATTATTTATTTATTTATTATTAATGTCCCATCTCAAACTCAGTCCACATCATGTCCAAGGATAAAATGTCCGGTCAGAAGACCATTAAGAAAGGCTTATGTGATGTGGAAGGTGAAAAAGTCACAGTTGAACCCGGTTCTAGTCTGAGTGAAGTCCATCTAATTAGATCAAGTCCTTGTTCAGCTACTTGGCACCATCCAAAAAAAAAAGAGTAAGAAGTCGCCTCGTTTTACCGTATAAATAATCGTACTTCTGGAGGACTCATCAGAACACTTACGGCCTTTTTCCAGTGCCTTGCTAATGGCTCCATCGTTTCCTCACACAGGGCTTTTGGTTTGAAGCCCACTTTTTTTGAAGGTTACCTTACATTTATACAAATTCCTTCTATTCCCGTTCCCACTTCATCTCTCTTCCAATTTTCTCAATGAGACGTGTTGAGCAGCGGCCCAGGCCATTTACTGATTGACTCTAATTGGAGATTTCCCAGTCTAAGTGGAGGGAGCTGTATTAGCACTGTATCTGTGAGCCGCTAATTGGACACAGGGGGAGCAGAAGAATCACTAATAGCAATTTATGAGTTATATTTTTAAAGGCCTTTTTGTTTTTGCATTTTTTTTCTCCAGTCGTTTAGGATATGAAGGATAACCCAGTCTTTTTTTGGCTTTGGTGATGTTAGTACCTGAGGGAATTTCAATCCAAAGGAGTCATTCAGAGAAATTCCAGATTTCAAGAGTGTTTTAACAACTCAAATTTTCAATTAATGGAAGTTCAGCTTAACAAACCGCCCCCAAATAAAATCAGTTTAGCAAATTGCACTCAGAAATATATACAATGCTGTATGCCAGTAAAAAAATACAGGCGAGGACATCGCTAAGAACACACAGCAGTCAATAATCTTTACAAACATGCAGCGTGACTAATCCTGATCAAATAATCGGAACAAATTACTGATTATCCAAGATAATGCTGCTAAAGCTCTAGAAAACAGAGGCCTTTTTTTTTTCTTCCACAGTCACTGAAAAGCATTCGCTCCCTAGAGCTATTTACGAACAAAACAAGATTCGGCAAAGAAATTTGACTCTTTATTTTTAAATCACAGATTTTTATCATCACAGATCATCAGATAAACCATTCGTAACACAAATATGTTTGGCTGTCAGAGAAGAAAAATGAATGGTCGAGAGAACCGTTGTCAGACCTGTGACATAAGAAATGTTAGCAAGGTTGTGTGTCCGTTCTTTTAGCATTTTTATGCTAACTTGAACTGTTTTTGTTCATATTATTTGTCTATTTTTAGTATTTTTAGCTAACATTTGTCACACCTGTTTTTTTCTTACTCACTTACCTAATCATAATTCAGGCTAATGTTTTGGTATACTTTGTAATTTGTTTAGAAATGTTTGGCTATTACTGTGGCTAGACCGTATTTGGGCTAATAGCTTTACCTATTCTGACTAACTTTGAGATATTTTCAAGTTTTAGCTAGTTAAAAACATAAAATGTAGTTCTTTTAGCGATTATTTTTTTATAAAGTTTAGCTAATTTCAGGCTAAGTCATCATTTAGCTAATGAGGCTAAAGCTAGGCTAACATTAGTTTATTTTGTGTGTTAGGGTTAGGCATCTTATTGTGACTGAGTACTCACTGTTTCAGAACCTTTGTTCAAACTGTGTGTTGTGTGTGTGTATAAATGTTAATGTTGTGAACTGAACTCAGACTTGAATGTGGGCAAATTGCCTGTCTGGGCAAAAACCTCTTCACACCCTGTCAAACTGCATGCTTTCTTCTCTCAGTCGGAGAACAATGTATCTCCTGTAAGTGTGGTTTTGAATGGCACTGGCTGTGTGCGTGCATGTGCGTGTGTGCGTGCGTGCGTGTTTGTGTGTGTGTGCGCGCTTGCACGAGGACCAACTGTATGGGTGTTTGCATGTCACACGTCAGTCAACGGTCCACAAACATGAGCACAATGTCTTACAGTATGTTTGGGCTGGAGCTGGGACAATTGCTGATTGTCTGGTGTGTTTTCTCTTCTTCTTCTCCCCCACGCCCCCTTTTTCACGTCCACGTTTTTGACTACAATCAGGTTTTCTTCTTGATCCTTCAGTGAGCCAAGGAGCAGCGTACAGTCCAGAGGGCCAGCCCATGGGCAGCTTCGTGCTGGACGGTCAGCAGCACATGGGGATCCGACCAGCCGGTGAGTCCCGCGGCTCTTCCCTCGCCTGCCACCTTTGTCATGTCTGCTTCACCAAACACCACTGTCACCCTCCGCTGTCACCCAGCTGATCATCGCTGATCCTCATCTCATGGAGCATGTGTTTGAAACTCTTCTGCACAAAGCAGAACCCTGACCATATACTAACATGTGCTTCAGAAAAACCACTGTAACACTTCCCTCTGGAGGACCTCCATCATTTCCCCCCAGACAGTCTGCTGCTTGTATCGCTTGCCCCCCCCCCCCTAATCTTAACACATCTGGAAAAATTCCTCGTAATCCATCTCGAAAAAAAAGGGATTTGTGGGAGTCGATGCAAAGCTAAAAGACTTCTGTCACTCCCTCACATTTTCCTCTTCCCACACTCTTCCTTCATCTCATTTTCCATCTAACACTAACCAACCTCATCCTCTCGAAACATGGCTCTCCTCTGACCTCCGCTCTGTGATTCAAACTCCTGCTGACACTTTTCTGGCGTTTATCTCTTCTCTCTAGGGCCTATGAGTGGAATGGGGATGAATATGGGCATGGATGGGCAATGGCACTACATGTAACCTCCATCTTGTAAAGCAAAAAAGGGGGAAGTAAGTACTGGGCTTCTGTTTCTTTTGTTGTTGTTCTTTTAAATCTTTTGGGATCTCGGTGTCATTTGTTTGTTTGTTTGTTTGTTTTTTTTTTTTTTACTTCATCAACATCACTGCTTCTCACTCTGCTGCTAGTGCAGCATCAACTGCTAAGAGCTAGCATGCAGCGCTGTGTGGGGGCCAGCAATGAATTGACATCTTGTGAAAAAAAAGGGTGGGGGGGCTGGAAGGAGGGGTACAGTCCTGGGACAGAGAAGACCCCGACTTGTGGCGCCAGACAACATGAACAACAAGAGAAAGAGAAGAATCAACCTGGCATGGCATGCACACATTTATTTATCGCAACAGCGCCATCACTCTCCTCACCCTGGACAGCAAATGCAAATGTTGGACATTTAGGGGAAAAAATAACATCTCCTGGGGAAGGGGGCTGACGGGGAGAAATTAAGCAGGCTCCAGTGAAGCGATAAAGAAGGAGAAGTGAAACTGTCCTCCGAGTGACATAAATCTGTCCGACGGAGGATTGATGCCCAAATTATCTTATATGCAAAGACGGAAACACTGCAGTACATTACGGTCCTGAACCAGATATACGGGCCGTGGGTGACACGGCCGATCCTTCACTCGGGGTTTGGTTTGAGCCGTGTAAAGGAAGGAATGAGCTGGTGGGGGGGGGGGCTGTGTGTTTTGATTATTTTTTACTGGAGGGAGAGGATTTAAGGGGGCAGGGCGGGGAGGCCAGTGAGCAGCCTGACCTGAGACTGGCAGACGAGAGGCAGGAGCAGAGATAAATTTATAAGGTTGTAGACACAGGCATGGCTGCGTCTAAGTGGAGGGGAACTGTTTCACACACACACAGAGATACAGTTCATCTCTGTGGTCTCCCTCACACACACAGGTAAAGTACTTTTGTTTTTGTAATGTTGAAATATTATTTTTATTTTCTATTCTGACATATAATCTGACAATTTAAAATTTAAAACAAACTTTTTTATATACCTTGAAAAAATGAAAAAAAAAACAATATTTCAGTGTTGTCGCAAAAGCTAAAGCGTGGACATAATTACTGCTCTGTGATTGGTCAGTCTGGTCCTACACGAGCCAGGCCTCTGGCCTCCACCAACACCTGCTGTTCACTGATGTGGCAGTTGAAGTGCTTCAGTGAAACAAAAAAAACCTCCCCACAGGGTGTATAAATTACCTATGTATTGACTGTGTATGGATGGTGGAATTATTGGATAGACAGTACGGCAAAAGGCATTTAGAAAAATCAAATTGTTTCTAAAAATTATCAGAAGTATTGTTTTTATTATTATTATTATTTAAACATTTATTAGCATGAATTTGATGCAGATTTGGCTAAAACTGTGGATCCCACGGCCATCACCTGCAGCTTCAAATACCAGTCGTATCTCTGAATGAAAACGTCTGCTGAGAGAGTGACGATGAAGAAGAAGGTTCTTATTTCAGGCCCGGCTCTTTAGCAGCAGATTTCTTCTACCCACTGCGCGCAGCTAAATGGCCACATTCTGATTAAGCCGGCTATTTCGCCTGGTTCCACAGTGCTGACATTTGAAATATCAAGACACATCACTCCTCACAGGCGGGAGGGCAGAAGAGATTTTATTTAACACCTAAACTCCTTTACCCAATGAGGCACAATATAATAACACTTACCTTGATTAAAAGAACCCTTTATATGTAAATGGAGACGGGATTTTCCGAAGGGTCAGCGCGGCAATTCCGTCGATAGAGATCATTTCACCCTTTCTAAGTCCTTGCCTGCTCTCTCTCTCTCTCTCTCTCTCTCTCTCTGTTCTTGTTTCCTGTCAGTGTCTCTCGCTCATTTTTCCCTCTCATCCTCTTCTGTCTTTGCTAATGGCAGCAGAGGGAGGAAGGGGAAGAAAAAAGGGGAAGGGGGGGGGGGGGGGGGGGATCAGGAAGCAATGTTCCCTAAAACAGCCACACAGAGACAACATTTGCTCAGGTTGGCTAATTCTTAATATAAGGGCTATATAATTTTGAGAGGATTTAATTACGTAACATACTTTCTGCTTCATGACCAATTACATTAATAGCTCAATACAGAGGAATATTATCCTCTCTTGATTTGATTACACAGCCACACAATATGGTGTATTTGGTACTTAATTATGGCCGGCCATTGAGCAGGAGTGCTGTGCCATAACAGAAGTGCACAGTCAGTCATGGGGAGGCAGGCATGCAGAGATGGAGGGGGGGGAGTAGGTGTGTGGGTGCGAAGGAGGCTCGGACTGTACTCACTTATTGTCTTCACGTTTGTACCACTCATGTTAATAAAGCATGGGTGGGTGTATGTGGTGGTGGTGGGGGGTGGGGGGTCTCAGAGTTACTTAACAGAATGACTGCAGCTTACACGACTGCAGATTAGCAGCTTACAGTGTCAGAAACATCTGCTGGGCCTTTTAACAGGAGCTGCTCCAGGTTTTTAGGGGGGTGAGGGCATCCGTCCCCCCGTCATCCCCCCCCCCCCCTGTGATTTATTTGTTTTATGACCCCAGTAGTGAGGTTTTAAGAGACCTGCACTGACAAACACGTGCATTTCAAATGAACTGACATGGAAACAGGGGGAGTATTAGAAAATGACACAGCTCTCCACCAATGAGGCTGCTCATTAATCTCAGCCTCCGCTGTCTCTTTTACTCTCTCTCTCTCTCTCTTTACCTCCTGCTGCTCCTCCCTCTCTCCCCCCCCCCGCCCCTCACCGGGGCCCTCCTGTGTAATTTCTTAATTGCAGTGTACTAAGGTGGAGGAATGCAGAGAGTGAGCATGCCTCGTGACCTTGCAGCGACCTCTCCCCTCCTATTACAGCTTCTAATCCCCCAGGGGTTCACATTACAAAGCAGGGCCGGCCCAGACCCAATCGCAGAACCCAGGCCCCCCTCTGGCTCCAGCGGGACCCCCTGCTCTCCCTTGTCTCTGTCCCTAAGGTCCAGGACCTTCTAGAGCTTCTGGCCATGTTCCCATACTCCAGGACCCCCCGGCCCCCCCACCCAAAACATCTCACTTTTTCCTTTCTGATTACAAACATGCAGCTGAGTGAGGAGTCAAACTGTGGCACTGCTGAGCCAGCTCTGTGACCTGGGTCCTGTCACAGTGTGAGGGTGCCGGCATGCTGAGGCTCTCTGCACATATGAAGCAGAGACCCTCTGAAGGGACATCAACATACCCCACCTCCTGTTTATTTCCTTTCTTTTCTACTGTCTCTTTTATCTTTCTGTGTCAAGCTGTTGTTTCCTGCTTTTTTATCTTAATCCATAAAACCCACACACCGAGCATCAAGACCACCGCTTAGAAGGAGGGGGGGGGGGCTATAGCTTTAAAGATGAACTGTGTATGAAGTGAGGTGAAATGATTGATGACTCAGTAACAGTTCATAATTCTAAAAACAGTTAGCACTAACTGAAAAAAATATAACAGCCGAATTGATCAGTGGAACTTTCTGATTATCGTGTGTGGTTCAGGTTTGGAATATTTGTCCTTTTACTGCCTGGAAACTGGGGTTAAAGTCAAAAACCTGTGATTTCGCAATGAAGCTCTGCGAATTTTTTTTTTTTT